CGCCCCCCCTCCATCGCCTATATACAGAGCACGGCACATCCCCCTCCGTCGCCAATATACAGAGCCCGGCACACACACACCCCCCCCCCCCCATCGCCCGATATACAGAGCACGGTGCTCCCCCCCTCCCCTCTGTCGCCTATATACAGAGCGCGGCGCGCTCCCCCCTCCGTCGCCTATATACAGAGCACGGCGCCCCCCTCCCCATCGCCTATATACAGAGCGCACGGCGCCCCCCCTCCCCCTCGATTGCCTATATACAGAGCACGGCCGCCCCCCTCCATCGCCTATATACAGAGCACGGCGCCCCTCTCCATCGCCTATATACAGAGCACGGCACCCCCCCCATCGCCTATATACAGAGCACGACACACACCACCCCCCCAACCATCGCCAATATGCAGAGCACGGCGCTCCCCCCTCCATCGCCTATATGCAGAGCACGCGCGCCCCCCCTCCATCGCCTATATGCAGAGCACGGCGCTCCCCCCCCCCTCCATCGCCTATATGCAGAGCACGGCGCTCCCCCCCCCTCCATCGCCTATATGCAGAGCACGGCGCTCCCCCCCCCTCCATCGCCTATATGCAGAGCACGGCGCTCCCCCCCTCCCATCGCCTATATGCAGAGCACGGCGCTCCCCCCCCCCTCCATCGCCTATATGCAGAGCACGGCGCTCCCCCCCCCTCCATCGCCTATATGCAGAGCACGGCGCTCCCCCCCCCCTCCATCGCCTATATGCAGAGCACGGCGCTCCCCCCCTCCATCGCCTATATGCAGAGCACGGCACTCCCCCCTCCATCTGATATGCAGAGCACGGCACTACCCCCCTCCATCTGATATGCAGAGCACGGCACTCCCCCCCTCCATCGCCTATATGCAGAGCACTGGGCGCCCCCCCATCGCCTATATAAAGAGCGCGGCGCTCCCCCCTCCGTCGCCTATATACAGAGCGCGGCGCTCCCCCTCCATCGCCTATATACAGAGCACGGCGCTCCCCCCTCCATCGCCTATATACAGAGCACGGCGCTCCCCCCCTCCATCGCCTATATATGCAGAGCACGGCACTCCCCCCCCCCATCGCCTATATACAGAGCATGGCGCCCCCCCCATCGCCTATATACAGAGCATGGCGCCCCCCCCATCGCCTATATACAGAGCACGGCACACCCCCTCCATCGCCAATTAACAGAGCACGCACACACACCACCCTCCCCCCCATCGCCTATATACAGAGCACGGCGCGGCGCCCCCCCCTCCGTCGCCTATATACAGAACACGGCGCTCCCCCCTCCATCGCCTATATACAGAGCAAGGCGCTCCTCCCCCCCCCCCCCCCCCCCGGTCGCCTATATAAAGAGCGCGGCGCTCCCCCCCTCCGTCGCCTATATACAGAGCGCGGCGCTTCCCCCCTCCGTCGCCTATATACAGAGCGCGGCGCTCCCCCCTCCGTCGCCGATCTACAGAGCGCGGGCGCTCCCCCCTCCTCCGTCGCCTATATACAGAGCGCGGCGCTCCCCCCCCTCCATCGCCGATATACAGAGCGCGGCGCTCACCCCCCCCCTCCATCGCCGATATACAGAGCGCGGCGCTCCCCCCCTCCATCGCCTATATACAGAGCGCGGCGCTCCCCCCTCCATCGCCTATATACAGAGCGCGGCGCCCCCCCAACCCCCCCCCCCCATCGCCTATATACAGAGCACGGCGCCCCCCCCCCCATCGCCTATATACAGAGCACGGCGCCCCCCCCCCCCCATCGCCTATATACAGAGCACGGCGCCCCCCCCCCATCGCCTATATACAGAGCACGGCGCCCCCCCCCATCGCCTATATACAGAGCACGGCGCCCCCCCCCATCGCCTATATACAGAGCGCGGCACACACACCTACCCCACCCGTCGCCGATATACAGAGCGCGGCGCTCCCCCCCTCCGTCGCCTATATACAGAGCGCGGCGCTAGCCCCCCCCCCTCCGTCGCCGATATACAGAGCGCGGCGCTCCCCCCTCCGTCGCCGATATACAGAGCGCGGCGCTCCCCCCCTCCGTCGCCGATATACAGAGCGCGGCGCTCCCCCCCTCCGTCGCCGATATACAGAGCGCGGCGCTCCCCCCCCCTCCGTCGCCGATATACAGAGCGCGGCGCTCCCCCCCCTCCGTCGCCGATATACAGAGCGCGGCGCTCCCCCCCCCCTCCGTCGCCGATATACAGAGCGCGGCGCTCCCCCCCCTCCGTCGCCGATATACAGAGCGCGGCGCCCCCCCCCCTCCATCACCTATATACAGAGCACGGGGCTCCCCCCTCCATCACCTATATACAGAGCACGGGGCTCCCCCCTCCATCACCTATATACAGAGCACGGGGCTCCCCCCTCCATCACCTATATACAGAGCACAGCGCTCCCCCCTCCATCACCTATATACAGAGCACAGCGCTCCCCCCTCCATCACCTATATACAGAGCACAGCGCTCCCCCCCCTCCATCACCTATATACAGAGCACAGCGCTCGCTCCCCCCTCCATCACCTATATACAGAGCACGGGGCTCCCCCCTCCATCACCTATATACAGAGCACGGGGCTCCCCCATCCCTCCATCACCTATATACAGAGCACGGGGCTCCCCCCTCCATCGCCGATATACAGAGCACCCCCCCCCCATCGCCTATATACAGAGCACGGCGCCCCCCCCCATCGCCTATATACAGAGCACGGCGCCCCCATCGCCTATATACAGAGCACGGCGCCCCCCCCCATCGCCTATATACAGAGCACGGCACACACACCTACCCCCACCCATCGCCGATATACAGAGCGCGGCGCTCCCCCCCTCCGTCGCCTATATACAGAGCGCGGCGCTCCCCCCTCCGTCGCCTATATACAGAGCACGGCGCCCCCCCTCATCGCCTATATACAGAGCACGGCACACACACCCCCCCCACCCATCGCCGATATACAGAGCGCGGCGCTCCCCCCCCTCCGTCGCCTATATACAGAGCGCGGCGCTCCCCCCTCCGTCGCCTATATACAGAGCGCGGCGCTCCCCCCCCCCCCCTCAGAGCGCGGCGCCTATATATACAGAGCGCGGCGCTCCCCCCGTCGCCTATATACAGAGCGCCGCTCCCCCCCTCGTCAGCCTATATACAGAGCGCGGCGCTCCCCCCCTCCGTCGCCTATATACAGAGCGCGGCGCTCCCCCCCTCCGTCGCCTATATACAGAGCGCGGCGCTCCCCCCCCCTCCGTCGCCTATATACAGAGCGCGGCGCTCCCCCCCCCCCCTCCGTCGCCGATATACAGAGCGCGGCGCTCCCCCCCCCCGTCGCCGATATACAGAGCGCGGCGCTCCCCCCTCCGTCGCCCCCCTCCCCCCCTCCGTCGCCGATATACAGAGCGCGCGCTCCCCCGCTCCGTCCCGATAACTCCCCTCCCCCTCCGTCGCCGATATACAGAGCGCGGCGCTCCCCCCCCCTCCAGAGCGCGGCGCTCCCCCCTCCGTCGCCGATATACAGAGCGCGGCGCTCCCCCCTCCGTCGCCGATATACACAGAGCGCGGCGCTCCCCCCCTCCGTCGCCGATATACAGAGCGCGGAGCTCCGGCGCTCCCCCCCTCCGTCGCCGATATACAGAGCGCGGCGCTCCGTCGCCCAGAGCCCCTCCCCCCCGTCGTCGCCGATATACAGAGCGCGGCGCTCCCCCCCTCCGTCGCCGATATACAGAGCGCGGGGCTCCCGCCCCCTCCCCCCCTCCACCTATATACAGAGCGGCGCTCCCCCCTCCGTCACCGATATACAGAGCGCGGCGCTCCCCCCCTCCGTCACCGATATACAGAGCACGGCGCTCCCCCCTCCGTCACCGATATACAGAGCGCGGCGCTCCCCCTCCGTCGCCTATATACAGAGCAGCGCATCCCCCCTCCATCACCGATATACAGAGCGCGGGCTCCCCCCTCCATCACCGATATACAGAGCACGGCGCTCCCCCCCCTATCACCTATATACAGAGCACGGCGCTCCCCCCCTCCATCACCTATATACAGAGCACGGCGCCCCCCCTCCATCACCTATATACAGAGCACGGGGCTCCCCCCTCCATCACCTATATACAGAGCACGGGGCTCCCCCCTCCATCACCTATATACAGAGCACGGGGCTCCCCCCTCCATCACCTATATACAGAGCACGGGGCTCCCCCCTCCATCACCTATATACAGAGCACGGGGCTCCCCCCTCCATCACCTATATACAGAGCACGGGGCTCAGAGCCCCCTCCATCACCGATATACAGAGCACGGGGCTCCCCCCCCACCTACAGACACATCACCTATATACAGAGCACGGGGCGCCCCCCCCTCCATCACCTATATACAGAGCACGGGGCTCAACACCCCCTCCATCACCTATATACAGAGCACGGGGGGCTCCCCCCTCTATATCACCGATATACAGAGCACGGGGCTCCCCCCTCTATCACCTATATACAGAGCACGGGGCTCCCCCCTCCATCACCTATATACAGAGCACGGGGCTCCCCCCTCCATCACCTATATACAGAGCACGGCGCTCCCCCCTCCATCACCTATATACAGAGCACGGGGCTCCCCCCTCCATCACCTATATACAGAGCACGGCGCTCCCCCCTCCATCACCTATATACAGAGCACGGGGCTCCCCCCCATCACCGATATACATCCCTCCATATATACAGAGCACGGGGCTCCCCCCTCCATCACCGATATACAGAGCACGGGGCTCCCCCCTCCATCACCTATATACAGAGCACGGGGCTCCCCCCTCCATCACCGATATACAGAGCACGGGGCTCCCCCCTCCATCACCGATATACAGAGCACGGGGCTCCCCCCTCCATCACCTATATACAGAGCACGGGGCTCCCCCCTCCATCACCTATATACAGAGCACGGGGCTCCCCCTCCATCACCGATATACAGAGCACGGGGCTCTCCCCCTCCATCACCGATATTACAGAGCGGTGGTCGCACTCACTCGGGTGGGTAGAGCCTCAGCTCCTCTACGTCCCCCAGGAAGGAGAAGAGGGTCCGCATCTGCTCGCTGGTGACGGCGGCGGACAGGTTGGTGACCTGAATGACGGTGGTGGGCCCGGTGCTCATGGCGGAGGTGATGACAGATGCCGGAGCCGGACCGACACTGGCGCGCTCCCGCCTCAACGCTTCAACCAGCAAGCTGAAACAAGCCCGAGTATAGAACATCCTCCCAACTAGTCCCCGTCCGCATCCTCCAACCAGCGCCCTCTGATGGCCGCACACTGAATGACAGCACGGGGCGGGCCCCCCCTCCTGTCCTGCCAGTCCTTGAGTGGAAGACGCTCTGTGCAGGTGGAGGACCACCCATCTCTATGGTGTTTACACTGGCACTCACAGAGGCTGAATCATGTCAGGGACATTCACATCACTACAAATCTGTAACTGAGCTGCTTAGGGCGATTGAAGCCATATTAGTGCCCAAAATAATGATTAGGGCTGGACTGAGCAGAAGGGGACAGCCAGCATGCTTGTGCTTAGAATTAAACTGAGACTTGCCGCCCTTCTGAAAAGCAATCTGCAGTGGGTTGCATTTCGGAGGCATTTGACAGACAGGAGTCAATTTGTTGCTGGCTTGTAAGTGGGTGAGAACTAGCTGGTCAGGTGCTGCACCAGACGGGAAGGCTGGGCTTCACTTAGTGCCTGGGATTGTCGTTTGGTGGGATCTGTGGGTCCGACCCATATGCTCTTGTGGACATAGAAAGGGACAGTGGGCCAAAGCCGAAGAGAGAGGGAGGAAGGGCAGTTGTGGATGAGAAGAGGTCTGGGAGAGAGAGAGAAGATTCTCCTGAGGAAGTTGGAGAGCTCCACACCTGAAAGATGGGAAGGTCACCCCAGATGGGGTTCACCCCAAGATCCCAGCTACTGGGGAGTGCCACTAATGGAGCTTTAGTCACATGGACTCTACCTTTGCAGGTATGCCGGGGCAGCACATAGCCTGATCAGGACTAGGGATAATGACAGCTTTATTGAAGTTCTGGTGGCCAGTCTGCTTTGGACCCTTTTGTATGGGGCATGACATTCTGCAGTAAAATGATGAAATGTACCTTTTGCCTGGTCTGAAATCCTAGAAAGCAGCATTGCATGTAACCAGTACACACTTATGCTACAGCTTGGGGCACGGACATATGGGGGGTGAAGAGCCAGCACATTTACAATCATCATGGTGCAAGCTACACATGTGGTTGCCATGGACAACCATGTACAGTCAGCAAGCAGCCTGTCAATAGCATGTGCCTCTTAGAGGTGGAATGGAGGGAGATGTTGACGGCACTTGAATTCCATATCCCATAGCAACCGGAGCGGAACTGCCCTGCAGAGCTCCCCATCCTGTACATGGGTTCAAGAATTAAAGACACGTAGACGGGGGGTTCCATGCAGCTACCAGGATCAGTAGCGGGAGAACGCTGGACAGGTGGCTGTGGTCAGTGTTTGGCACGGCCCGCCTAATTTCAGGCTACAGTGGAAAGATGTACACTTACATGGGCCCGGAAGTTTCCAACTTCCTCAGTCCCTGTATGACATCCGGAGTATGTTCAAGTTTATGCAGGGCATGAGGAAGTTGGAAATTTCCTGGCAGAGTTTCCTTGGTGACCATCCCAGTGCCTGGAAGAGGTCGATCCAAACATCTCTTAAAGGGAACCTCCGACTTATCACCATCCTGTAATTCAGACGAAGGCCACCTAACCCTAGGCTGTATCCGGTACCACCCTAGAAGGGATCCCTGACAGATCACCATTTACTATATACAATGTACTTTATATATGCGCATCTGGTGAGTGTGCATTTTACCTATATCCTGCACTTCACCAGAATATTGAATCATATATAACTGGGAATAACAGTCACCTTGGTCACAATCGTTGATGTTTATGTGAAGTATGATCATATCGATTTGAACTTTTTTACATTACCAGAGTATTCCCTTCAATGCACATTTAGCTACTGGACACCCTCTGGATTTATTTATATTATTGATTCCTTGTACTGATTTTTATTTATGATATACTTTTAGCTCTGCACTATTATTTTATTTGTTTCTTGAAGGCATATGGTTTTCCTTTTAGTGCAATAGCTGCTTTGTTATCTAGCACTCGCTGAGTCTTTATATTTTTAAGCCCATATGTACCTGTTACAGGTGCCTAGCGTAGCCCAGAAGAACCCACAACCAAGGTAGGCCTCCCCTATTACCCACACATGGCTCCCAATGAGGAGGGGAACGTGGAAGAGGTTCCAACCACCTTCCCTACATGCTTGCCACCTGTTTTAACCCTGTAAAGCCTGCACCACCATTCCAAAACCACATGCATTGTTGAAGGTGATTGAGGAGCAGCTCTACTCCCTTGAATGGGTCACTTTTGGTGGTGGTACTTCTAGTTGAATGTGACAGACGGGATCAGCCCCACTCAGCTGCCTTTGCAGCAATGAGCTCAGGCGTATTTGAACACAAGTCCGAACCCACCTAAGCCATCCCACGGGAAACTGACAAAGCCGAGAACCAATCATGAGCAGTGGAGGCATTCCCCATACTGCAGGTGCACAGATACACGCCTGAACTCATCCCTATACAGCGGAAATAAACCCATCAATTTACACGTTTCAAAACACAGCTACATCCCCAGCACATGCCAGGAGGGCTAACTGTCACTTCTGCTTGTGCAACCATCAAACAGCCAGAGTCATAACTGGCCATGTTAAGCACCATAGCAGTTGCAGATCAAACAGAGGCTAAAGGTGGGAATACACTATTAGAAAATCGACTGATCGGTAATCCAACAACGGAGAGGCGTTTGTTCGTTGGTTGAAATCGTGGCCTACATTAACCAATCTAAAAAAATAATTTGTCGGGCAATACGTAGTGTTGATATCTTCCGTACAAGTGGAAGTGATGCAGTGTGTGTGTGACCTTGTAGCCACGCCCTTCTAGCCAGAACGATCGATATACACAATTACCAGCAATGAGTATAATATAGTTTATTACATGACCTATATCCATAAATAGTGATATATAAAATGTAATATGGAGAATTCTGGTTTCATTATCTCATTAGGTCAATCTACTTTTAACATTTGGATTTTTCGTTCGTGTTTCCGAAGATTCCTTGGACATAAACATGCGGGTCATCTTCTGTTTCCTCTCATGCGTGATAGCACTTGATAGATTTTTTCGTACAACCGTCATACCACCACATTGCAAAACGACAACATTTTTCACTGTTGTTCAACCGGATTTTTTCATTCACAATATCGTTATCGGTTAAAACATCCTGCTCATCAACGAAGAGGAAAAATCGTTCAATCAGTGGTTCCGCAAAATTTATCATACGATTTTCTTATCGTGTGTACAGGGCATAAGGCTCCATTCACACCTATGTGTTTGCTTTTTGTCCTTTGTGCAGTGCTTTACACAGTTCGTTTTGTGTTTTTTTTCACATGCATTTTTGACACGTTTTTTGCCGTGATTTGCTCAGCAATTTTTTTTTTTTTAGTGGAATTTTTTTTTTTGCTGGGCAGAATACAAATACAAAAAATGCGGCAAAAACGCACTACCATGCATTTCAGCAGATTCTCCATTGAACTCTTGTAGCAAAAACGCTTTTAAAAAATGCCCTGACCCTTTCCAAAAGCGCAGCAGCTCAAAAAGCATAGATGTGAACATGTTCCATAGGAAACCATGTTAAATGGACTGTAGTGCAATTCTGCAAAAAGTACTAAAAAACACATTGCTATGTAAACGGAGCCTTAGTCCTTGTTCACACCATACGTGTAGAAAAACTGATTGGAAACCCGCACAGATCTCACTTGCAGAGACATGAGTTTACATCAGTTTTCATTCATTTCAGTGAGTTTTATAAATGTTGCAAATTCCTGCACAGACAAAAATCTGCACGTGATACCAGTGTTGCAGTGTGAATAGAGAACAATATATTTTTTTGTGGCCTTGCAGAACATGTGCAAAAAACTGACATCTCTGCACATAGTATAAACGAGGCCTAAGATGGCAGCTTCCTTGGCTGAAAACGATAAGGAGGGTTTAGTTTGGCTTTAAGATAGGGGTGGTAAAAACACAGTTTATTTCTACCTTTTTTTTTTTTTTTCCTTGGTGGCCGTGTTTGCTGTACCTCATGGATCTTCTCGTGCCTTGGTAGCTGTCAAATTTTTTTTTAAAATGTGGCCACGCAGGGCTCCACTCACACGGCCACCTCACTCATTCACAATCATCCGTGAATGAGAGACTACAAGTCCCGATAGCCTTAATGGCTGCCATCTTGTAGTCCTCCTCAATGAACTACCACAGTGCTGTGAAGCACTATCAGTATATCTGCTTGCTTGTACATCCCGTATGAGCAAGCAGATATACTGACAGAAGTGACCTGCAGACAAAAATAATAAATGCACATTTTTTACCTGAAAAAAATGTGCATTTATTATTTTTTTCCAAAAGGTGGACTTATCCTTTAATTATGTGTAGAACTTCCTGTCCCAGCTAGGCTGGCTTGAGACCCTGTCCTACACATAGGACAGTTGTTGCTGAACCCAGCTCAGAATACAGGGATTTTGGGCAAATGTTCCTATTTTTACTAGTTTACTATTGTTCTCCATAGCTTCTGGGTCTCTCTCTCCCCTCACGGATGGAAGAGCAGAGAGGAATACAGCTGCTCCTCTGCTGCCCGGCCCCATCCACTCACCTATTGCCGATGTGCAGCTGTGCCTGAGAGAGAGGGGATGTGTGGGCAGGAAATATGAAAAGTGGCAGCCATCTGAAGATTTCCTAGCTGTGTCAATGATGCCTGAGCCACAAGCTACCAGCCTGAGCCCTCGGGTGAGTGAGAACTGCAGTACACAGTGATCACTGAACTGTCCCTATATCTTTCCCTTCTCTCCCTCACCTGCCTCCCTTCCCGTATCAGCTCTTCCAAGAGCTTCACAAACTTTCAGTTCCAGTTAGCACTTACGCATACATTGATTGCTTTTTTGTCCCCATCAACTATTAGATTGAATGAAAAAAAAAGAAAATATGATCCAATTCCCCCATCTACACATTCCAGGTGGATGGGGGAATCCTCCCATAGTGGCTGAACAACCAGTGTTGCTGTCCTGTCCCTGCTATTGATAGTGCTGGTCTCTGCCTCCATGGCAGCGGCA